CCGTTTAACATTCAACATACAGTATATTGCATATAACTTGCAACATGCAACACACTGCATGGAAGATATCCTATGTCGAAGGCAGCTGGCAATCTGTTGGGTGTTATATATTTGTGCTTTATGCTTTTTGTAGCCCGTAGTATGTAATACTGAATGCTATACGATACATGTAATATGCAAAGAATTTGGACTATGTATATGCATATATGGATGTGTGTGTATATGTATATACATAGATATGTATATATGTGTATATAGATATATATATATATGTATATGTATATATATGTATATATATATAGCACATATCTATCTACCTGTCTACGGGCCGGGCCGTGTCACAACCCTCCACCCATGGAATCAACATGCCCAACCGCAAAAGAACCCTAGCATTGGGGTTTAGGGTTTCGGGCTTGGGGTGCAGTAACCCTAAACCCTAAACCCTAAATCTAAACCCTCAACCCTCAACCCTCAACCCTCAACCCGAACCCCTAAACCCTAAACCCTATTGCAAGTTTCCTCCGCGAACCCGACGTTTGCCTTCACAGCCTCAACTTCCCCGCATGCCCGGAAAAGGGCTGCTTCAAACAGGGTGCTGCCCTGGAGTGCTACTGTACTACTAGTTGCTTAAGAGCCCCCAAAAACTTAAGGGTGACGCAGGGATTATGACTTTTTCATTCTTTTGGGGTTCTTAAGCAAATAGTAGTATAGGGTCGGAATAAGTACAGATAGTATTCCCTTACGGTTCCTCTATATTTATACTATAATTATTCTAACTATTAAGGCCCCTATATTACACCACAGGCCCGGAGCCCTAAACCCTAAACCCTAAACCCTAAACCCTAAACCCTAAACCCTAAACCCTAAACCCTAAACCCTAAACCCTAAACCCTAAACCCTAAACCCTAAACCCTAAACCCTAAACCCTAAACCCTAAATTTAAGAGCCTCCGGCTCAAGCCGCCGACCCCGCTGGAGCATAGTTGAAAGGTTTAAACGCGCTCGTCAGCTCAAAGGATGCCAAACCGCCTATGGTCCGTGAGTTTATGCGGTGTGGGTGGCCTGGCCCTCCATGGAAAAGCTGCCCGGGTACCCCCCCCTACCCCCCCCAGGGGAAAGAGGAGGTTTTCACCTCCTTTTCCCATCCAACACGCCGCCAGGGTCGGCGGACCCTAAACCCTAAACCCTAAACCCTAAACCCTAAACCCTAAACCCTAAACCCTAAACCCTAAACCCTAAACCCTAAACCCTAAACCCTAAACCCTAAACCCTAAACCCTAAACCCTAAACCGTAAAATCTCGACCTGAAGTCGGAGCCATCTTGGCAAAGAGGCTGGACGTTGGTCTATTCTTCGATGTGGCTCTGGACGCTCCTGCCTCAAAGAACTCCTGGAGCACTGAAGCCCTACTTCAACCCAATTATAACTGTACTTATAGCCCGATTATAACCCCATTAAGGGTACTTAAGGGGCTGAGTGGGTTATAGCTACACCTGCAATGGGTTACTAAGTACCCTGAACCCTAAAACCCTCGTTTTAGACTCAGCCCTACACCCAACTGGCGTTCCATCTCTGCACCTCGGAAGCAGATGCCACCTAAATAGCAGTTCTCGGGCCGCTTGCAGCTAGGGCACTAGAGTTGTGGTGCTTAGAGTTTAGTGTTTAGGGGTGAGTCGAGTGTCCCCCCCCCCCCCACCCTTCCCCTCTTAACCTGGGATTCCCTAAACCCTAAACCCTGAACCCTGACCACCCTAAACCCCAAACCCCAAAACCTAAAAACTAAAATCTAAACCCTAAACCCCAAACCCCAAACCCCAAACCCTAAACCCCAAACCCTAAACCCTAAACCCCAAACCCCTAAACCCTGAACCCTAAATCCCAAACCCTAAACCCTAAACCCTAAACCCTAAGCCCCAAACCCTGAACCCTGAACCCTAAACACTGAACCCCAAACCCTGAACCCCAAACCCTAAACCCTAAACCCTAAACCCTAGACCCTAGACCCTGAACACTTAACCCTAAACCCTAAACCCTAAACCCTAAACCCTAAACCCTAAACCCTAAACCCTAAACCCTAAACCCTAAACCCTAAACCCTAAGCCCTAAGCCCTAAACCCTAAACCCTAAACCCTAAGTCTGCGGGTTTTGAGGATTCTTCTCATCTGCGAGCTCCTCGGGGCTTGCGGCTCAGGGGAGGTTAGGAGGGACTTAGGGTTTAGGGTTTAGGGTTTGGGGTTTGGGGTTTAGGGTTCAGGGTTTGGGGTTTAGGGTTTGGGGTTTGGGGTTTAGGGTTTAGGGTTTTGGGGATTCAGAGTTTCCAACAGTTCCCCAATAAATCCAAAACCCTCTGGGTGCAGTGGTTTGTTGGTTAAACCCTAAACCCTAACCCCAAGCCCTAAACCCGAAACCCTAAACCCTAAACCTTAAGCCCTAAGTCCTAAACTTCAGACTCTAGACCCTAAACAAGTGGTTTCAGGGATTGAGGCTTGGTGAAGTGATTTCAGGCTTGTCTTGGTGAGTTGCAGCACCTTTTCGTTAGGGAGGTTAGGTTGATTTTGGGCTTCAGCGTTTTAGGGTTTCGGGTTTAGGGTTCTGGGTTTAGGCTTGGGGTAGACCCTGCACCCGGAACCAGGGCCAGGGCTGCAGACGGGAGGCTCTCTAAATTATGGTCCTGCAAACTAGAGAGGCCCCCTGAACAGAAAGCCCGCGCAGTTGGAGGTTTGAACTATTGAGGCGGGGAGGGAGCTGGGTCCTGTGAAGCGAGAGCCGTAAACCCTAAACCCTGCCCAAACCCCAGACCTATCAGTCCGAAACGCCGAACGCCCGGAATCCTTAACTTGACCACCCTTGACATCGCCCCTCGACCCTGGCTTTCCTTTGTCATAGTTGGGTAACATCTTACATTTTCAAGGGTACTTAAACCCGATAAGGAATAACAATTTAAATTCTTAATATTATCCCAACAATGAACTAGTTTCAAGCCCCAAGCCTAAGCCCTGAACGCCAGTGAAGAAACACATGCCAACATGGTAAACCCCCATGACGTAGGCATACTTGGGAATAATTCGTTAAATATTTTGGGTACTATACTTTCTAAGAAATGGCAGAAGTTGTGTTTTGTGTTATGGTTCCAAGTTCAATATAGATAAGCCGTAAGCCCCCTAAGCCCTGAAACCCTCGAACTGCAAACGAGGCCTGCGCTCTCTGCTGGCGCGCCGCCGTCTTCGCGGAGCACGAGCTTTCCCTGCAGCACCTGGCAGTACGGAGCTGCTCGGCCGTTGGAGCTATTAGAGGTTTTTGGGGTTTAGGGTTTCGGGTTAGAGGTTTTGAGGTCATTTTTTTTTCGGGGGGTGAAATGAAGGGTTTTTTGCGGGAGGCTTTAGGGTTTCTAGGAGTTTTACAAGGGGCTTCTGGGATTTGAGGGCGCTGAGGGCTTCAACGGGTTGGATTTTCAGGGGGGGAGGTTTCGGACTTCCCTAAACCCTAAACCCTAAACCCTAAACCCTAAACCCTAAACCCTAAACCCTAAACCCCAAACCCTAAACCCCAAACCCTAAACCCTAAACCCTACACCCGAAACCGGGGTTGGGGTGACAAGGGGTTCATATGTGTGCGAGCTAGGGTTCGGGTTCAGGCTTAGGGTTAGACGAGCACACCGCCTCCCTTCTCCAGGGACTCTAGGAGGGACCTTAATAAGGGACCTTAGGGGTTATGTTGGGGTTATTAAGGGGCTACTTCGGTATATAGGGACTATATAAGGTATTTTTGGGGGTTATAATTATAGGAGAATAAGATGAAGGGTCCCTTCTAGGGGTCCCTCCTTGTAGCCCTCAGCCTTCTCAGGTATGGAGCTGCCGGAAGACGGCACCCCCTGAGCTCGGGCAAAAACGGAGTCTCGCGGAGGGCTGTTGGCTTCGAAAGGTTCTTCTGGGAAATGGGGAAATGGGGTTTAGGGTTTAGGGTTTAGGGTTTAGGGTTTAGGGTTTCTGGGAAACTACCGTTGACGAAAAGAAGGGACTCCCTAATTAATGGAGTCCCTAAATAGTAGGATTCCTTATCGTAAGGACCCCAATAAGGCACCCCTACTCTCGGAAACCCCCAAATGAGTTCGGGTTCTTCGGGGTTTGGATGGGAAGTAGAGGGTCATTTCGGGAATGATCAACTGCCATTTTGGATGTCGGGTTTAGGGCTTGGGTTCAGCGTCCTTTGCTACGCCGACAGAATTACCCGAAACCCTAAACCCTAAACCCTAAACCCTAAGCCCTAAGCCCTAAACCCAAAACCCTAAACCCTAACCCCTAAACCCTAAGCCCAGGCTACTCACAATAGCAGTTCTCCTCTGAGTCTTAGAGCGTTACATCCTCTAAGTTCAAGCCCTTGTGATCAGAACCCATACTACCGTTTCCTTGAGAATAACGTACGATTTCGGTTTGTCTCAGAAGCTCAAGGGAACATAGCACACATTGTGTTTATTCAAGTTCTAAGGAAGCTACAGTGAAGATCTAGAACCCCTAAACCCTAATCCCTGAACCCTACATCCTAAACCCTAAACCCTAAACCCTAAACCCTAAACCCTAAACCCTAAACCCTAAACCCTAAACCCTAAACCCTAAACCCTAAACCCTAAACCCTAAACCCCTAAACCCTAAACCCCTAAACCCCAAAACCCCCGTGGCTGGGCAAAGTGGGGTCTGAGGAGGTGTTGAGCCGCGTTTGTGCGGGTAGAAGCGTGGCTTAGGGTTTAGGGGCTTGGGGTTAAGGATTTAAGGGGTTGAGGGTTTCAGGGTTTCAGGGTTTCAGGGTTTCAGGGTTTCAGGGTTTCAGGGTTTCAGGGTTTCAGGGTTCACGCTTTCAAGGGTTCTTCGGTTCAAGGGCTTCAGGGTTGAAACCCTAAACCCTAAACCCTAAACCCTAAACCCTAAACCCTAAACCCTAAACCCTAAACCCTAAACCCTAAACCCTAAACCCTAAACCCTAAACCCCAAACCCCCCCTCTTGGCAG